TTCGTTCATTAATTTTTCAATATAAAACCAAAAATAAGAAAACGAAAAAACAACTTTCCACGTTTCTATGTAAACTGCGATGCCGTACTTTTGTCAGTCCCGGTCCTGGTCCCGGTCTGAGACTGGGACTGAGACTGGGACTGAGAGTGGGACTGAGACCGGGACCAGATCAGAACAGGACCAGGACTGAGACCAGGACCAGACTGAGACTGAGACCGAGACCAGACAGGGACTGAGCCTGGGATAAGACCAGGATTGAGGCCGGGACTGAGGCCGAGACTGAGGCTGGGACTGAGGTTGGGACTGAGACCGGGACCAGATTGGGACTGAGACCAGGACTGAGACCAGACGGGGACTGACGCTGGGACCAGACCAGGACTGAGGCCGGAACTGAGGCCGGGACTGAGACCGGGACCAGATCAGATCGGGACTGAGACCAGAACTGAGGCCGGGACCAGACCAGGACTACACCAGGACCAGGCCAGGACCAAACCGGGACCAGAAAAACAAATGAATGAATGATACACAGATTTAAAAAGAATGCCACAAGTGTGTTCAGCTGTTATATCTGCCAAAAATGGACACTTTCATGAATCAAAAGTTTAGAATATGTTATGGTCAACAGTAAACCATAAAAAATTGGAAAAAGTGTGGTGTTCTAAAACTTCCTGTTTTCTGTGACATGAATTATAGTAGTTGATGGTACAACATTTGACTTACATTGCCTGTTGATCTACTTCTGAATCCCGTTTTTCTCCTTGGTCTTTCAGCAGTCAACTGTGCCAAAGATCATATTTCATCATTTAACAGGGGAAATAAACTATTAAAAGTATGTTTTCTGTCACTTGGGGCAGATACAAAGCTGTTTATAAAAGCTGCCTGTGCGTGTGTGCCCTCAGATATGTTTTTGTTTGTCTCATGTTTGATTCTGTCCTTTGAAAAAAAAATTGTTTGATTTTGTGACACATTTAATGGAGCTAGTTACATTTTATACTGTACCATACTAGAAGCAACATTTCCATGGAAACAAGCAAGAATCAGGTCAATAAACATAGTCTTAATGAAAAAACATGACTTTATTTCAGACAGGTAAGGGGCGTGAGTGCTTCACTGGGTCAAATTGTCTGTGAATGTAAAACTGTAAATACAACATGTGATCTCCGAATGTAAACATTTCTTAAAGATGCTTTTGATTAAGTAATTTTTTTTAAGCAAAATGTTACATACTGTGGCTTTAAATGCACAAAATCCAGCTATTTTCCAAAGACATTCTCAGAAAAAAAAAAAAACTAAAGTAAAAGAGCGATGCAAGAAACACAACTGTTCAAATTGATTTCATATTTTCACGTAAAGCTTTTGTCACTTTAGATTTACTCGCAGTAGGAAGAGAAAACACAACTTTTACTCAAGTAAGAGTACTGAGTAAAAACATGACTCCAGGGAGGCTAAAAGTACAAAAGTAATCTGAAAAGTACAATTTGTTTACAAAGTTCCTCGGGTAAATGCCACAGAGTCTTCTATTGTTTTTCAGGATTGTAGGGTGTAACATTCCATATGGGGGTTTGTAATGGGAATTCAACCTGGATACACGGAACAACTGAGCGGCATGACGTCCACGGAATTCTATTATCACTTCCTGCTTTCAAAAACGGCATTGTTATTGTACATTTTTTATATCTTACATCTTTTAATTGTGTAAATTTAGTGTCAGAATTAACTTCAAGGGGCTGAGAATACACATTTGCAAGGTGTAAAATAGAAACACGTGCAGCTGAACACATGTGAAATAAGTAATGCAATACTGTGGAACATTCCAGAGGAAGCAATAATATCTCCATGGAGACAAGCTGTTTTTGTTTGATGTGTGATACGTTTGAATTCTAAGTGTGTTTGTTATATTAAACTTCCTGTATTAGGGTTAGGGTTTCCTCATCAAAACAAGTTGTGTTTTGTTTCATTCACACATGTTGAACGCACAAACTCTTTATATTTAGACTACGAAAACACTCTGTTCCACCTTGTGATGTCATGTGGTAATACAGGAAGCGCTCCACTCTGTTTTTATACTCAACATAAGGCTGTTTTCGATTTCAATTTGTGTGTCAAACGATCTCCAAACTCATAAAATTGAGTTGAAACGCTTAATGTTAAAGTTGATTTTGGGAATTTTTTTAAAATATAAATTAGTATATTTATTAAATTATTTTAAATATAGAGATGGTAGAACAGCTGGATATATAATTTATTTTGGATACATTTCTGTTTTTCTATGCCTTATTTCATGTTCAAAATATATTTTATTGCAAAACTGCTCTAAGGTTTATATTTGTAGCCTATATTTATTTTCAATTTGAGAGTTTTGCGTAAATTATCAATAACAAAGTGTTTTTTTTTTTTAGAGAGAATTGCAGAATAAATGCACTGTATGACTAAAAATAATCATTTGAATAATTGTGATTTCAATATTAACCAAAATATATATGATTTGACGTGATAATGATTTTTTCCATAATCAAGCAGCTCTAACTCAACACACCTTTACTAGAATAATTTGGATTGGATTTCAAACTTGGAATTGCTGATCTGCACTGAGATGTAGACAGACTAATAATAATGTTTTACTCAAACATGTGTGAATGAAACAAAACACAACTCCAGGTATGTTTTTGAGTAGGTAACGACATTCTAACATGACTAAAACCTCACAAGAGTCAGTTTTGTGTAATACAGGACCTGTACGTACAAAGTAGGGCTCCTATTGAAAGCGCTGCGTTCCTGGACTCCCACAGGAACCTCTCCGATTGGATCATTTCCTCTTTCTTTGTTGGGCTGTGGTCTCATTATCACAGGCGCAGACACGGGGCTGCAGGCTGCACAGGGACAGGGAGCGTGTACATAATATTTATACCGTATGTGGTCTTGTGTGTTTAAAGATTCACTGTGTCACTTTGCAGGCAGAGGGAGGGACCAGCACCTACTGTATGTGCTGTCTCCTGGAGATAGTTTTCCCTGGAATGTTACAAAGTATGGCATTAAAATCCGCGTATCATTGGTTCATTTGTTTTTCCAAATAAAACCAAAAATAAGAAAACGAAAACAACAACTATTTTCTTCATTATTTCTCCAGAACCAAAATGAAAAAACGGATAATGATTATTATTATTATCATTTTTATTTATTTTTTCAGTTTTCGAGTTTGTGTTTAAATGAATAATGGAAAAAACGGATAACAGATCATGGATAATGGATAACGTTTCCTGTTTCCATGACTTAAACTGCAATGCTGGACTTTTGCGCCGCATACGGACTGAGCCAAGACTAAAACAGAAGGACTGATACCAGGGCTGGAGCAGGATTAAACAAGGTCTAAATTAGGTCTAAACCAGGTCTAAACCAGAACTGAACCAGGACTAAACCAGCACTAAAGCGGGACTAAACCGGGACTAAACCGGTCTCAGTCCCGGTCTGGTCCCGGTCTCAATCCTGGTCTCAGTCCTGGTCTCAGTCCTGGTCTGATCCCAATCTGGCCCTGGTCTAGGCCTGGTCTCAGTCCTGGTCTGATCCTGGTCTCAGTTCCGGTCTGGCCCTGGTCTAGGCCTGGTCTCGGTCCCAGTCTGGTCCTGGTCTCAGTCTCAGTCCCAGTCTGGTCCCGGTTTGAACCCAATCTGGCCCTGGTCTAGGCCTGGTCTCAGTCCCGGTCTGACCCTGGTCTCAGTCGTGATCACCCGATGGTCCACACGGGCGCACCTCCGGGCCCATCCCGACACTCAGTTCTGGTTCACTCCTGGTTTAGACCTGGTTTAGATCCCGGTTTAGACCTGGTTTAGACCTGGTTTAGACCTGTTTTAGTCCTGTTCTAGTCCTGGTTCAGTCCTGGGATCAGATAATGCACTCAAAAAGATGTAACGGTAACTGTGGAAGTAAAATAACATACAATTTTATACAACTAAAAGTACAAATTACACATTACATAGTTTGTTAAAAAGCCCACAGATGTGACAGTGGGAGCCGAGCGTCGCCTGGTTAATATTTACAGGTTAAAAATAGCCATAAATCAACATTATCTTTGTCATTATCTGCTGCTTAAGCACAATGGGCCTTATGTAAACACACAGTTCCCTTCCCACAGTCAATCAAGATCTCATTTTACACCTCTGCCTGTTTTACACAAATCAGACTCCTGTGAGCTTTAAAGGTGCACTGTGGGACTTTTCTGATGGAGGACTTGGTCTGGTTTAGTCTCCATGAGGACAGAAAGGTTTAATGCTATACTGTGAAAAACATTTGATGGAGCCAACACCAGAAAAATTACACAATGCACCTTTAAGTCATGTTATAAAGTTGTTAAGTCCTCAAAAACAAACCCAGAGTTGTGTTTTGTTTCATTCACACATTTGAGTAATTGTGCATTATTAGACTGTCTGCAAATGTTCTGTTCTACCTTGAGTTTTCTATGGTTTTCTATGGCTTTAAGTTGTTGCTTTTATTGTTGAATACTTTTGTTTTACCTTTTGTTCAGTTGAGATTGTCTATACAGGGTTCCCACTCTTTTTCTGTGACAAAATTTAAAAACTTTTCCATGAATTTTTTATTTTTTTTCATGACCTAAAGTGAATTTTCCATGACTTTACAGCACCTTACATGTGTAGAATTGATCAGACTTTTAGGGCTAAATATGAAATGTTAATTCTTTCCACTCACCTTATAGTTTGGTAGTTTTTTTAACATTCAAAATACTGTCAGTGCATTTATTGTCGTCTCTTTTAAACAAAAAGGCACAGATGTTCAGAAATAATCATAATTTAAATTTCATTTCTCTCCAGTGATTAGGTCAGGAATTGGAATACACTTGACGGTTTGCAAGAACCCTGAAGTTGTAGACCGCGCACCGGCCAATCAGTGAAGTGCTCTGAAGCAATTACTTGGACACCACTGAGCGTTCCGGTGCATTACATACGTCTTGACAGTGATTGGTTAAATGAAAACGTCCTAATGCTGCGGGGTCAGACGGTTTCCACGAAGTGAAACCGGCTGATGAATCAGGCTAGTAGTTGCGTGAAAGAGATACTAAAATTCCATGTTTTTTTCCAAAACTTTAATTTGATTTACAAAATTCCATGGCCTGGAAAACAACATTTTCACTTTCCATGACTTTTCCAGGATTTCCATGACTGTGGGAACCCTGTCTATACAAAGTCAATTGGTCCATCAACAAGTGACGCTGTTTCATTGAGGCTAAAAACAGCTGTAACTTCAAAGTTTGGCAAATACAGGGCTGAAATCATCCAAATTATTCTACTTGAAGGTGTGTGGGGTTTAAAAACACAGTGGAGCATTTCTTGTATTACCACAAGGATTACACGCTACAGGCTCCTCAAACTGCATAAAAACATGACTATAGTACTTTCTTATGGGTTTGTGGTGAGAAAGGGTTGTGAGTTTATAGTCAATTTAAGTTATACCAATGTATCAGTGCAAAAATATCGGCAGAGCTCATCAATCCCTACTCCAAGTATATTTTTAGAAGGAAACAATATTATAACATGATCAAAAACAGTGCAATATAGGCTCTTTACACTCAACTGACAATTTAGAGCTTTTATTTGTGTATTAAATGTTTTTCTTTCACCTTAATAACCAAACCTTTTCTTATTTTCTTAGTTTAACATTACCTACATACATTATTTTATATGAAAAATATAAAATAGAGATAAAAATCACATAGTATTTGGTGTTCCCTTAAATTGTGACGTGATAAGGACTGAAACTTTTCTGGTAGAGGATCTGCTACCTACTTGTCTCCATGAAGATCTTATTGCTTTGCCTAGAATGTTCCACAGTATGGCTTTTAACATGTCTTATCTTGAATTTAGTCATTTCAATCATTCATTTAATCAATTACAGTTGTTTCTATTGCTCAAAACACAAAGAACAGGCATTGTTACTGTAATAATTATGTCTTATTTTGCGTCAGTCTCTTGCTATTTTTATTGCTACTTATTTTGAAGTTTTATTACCATTTTTTGCTCTTTGTTATTGTATTATAATGTGATGTGTGAGCTACTGTGTCCAAGTAATTTCCCTTGTGGATCAGTAAAGTCTAAGTAAGCGTGTTGATCTGACTTGTAACCTTGCCTGATAGTGCCACCTTAATTACTTGTTTATTAAGTTGTTTTGGATGAATATTGAGATTTAAAACATGCAAATTATAACATAATGATCCACTGGTGTCATAGATTTTAACTATAGAGCAGACACAAGACACATCTTCCTCTTTAAAGATCAGATTTCAGAAAAATTATTAGGAATGGAATAAAGATGGATATGTTCTTGGCCACTCAGTACCCCTGCTGGAGAGACCTGTCAGGGTGGATCAGGGCCATATATTCTGGTCATGCCCAGGAAAAAGGTAGTTGACCTAATTTATTCAGTGTTGGGCCTTGAGTTGATCTGTCTTTTTTTACTTAATTTTTTAGTATACCCCCAAAAAGTTTAAGTAAACCTTGCTGGATGAAAAAGAGGCCCTTATAGTGGTACTTTTGATGCATATTATCAGACAAATCCGAACAATGGAAATCATAAATTTTTATCTCTGCCTACAACGTCACAAGGGAAAAAAATTATTGGAAAAAATGGGATTGTTATACACACTCCATGGACAATGATCCGTGATATGTGACCTGTTGATTGTACATATAACCTTGTCTGGTTTGCGTATTTTCTTAGTTATTCTTTTGTATGCCATAAAACTCTCTTAAAAATAAAGTTACAAAAAAAAAAAGATTGTGGAACATTCTAGGCAACATTATCAGACAAGCAAGTGGTGCGCCCTCCATCAGAAAAGCTCCACAGTGCAGCTTTAATAAAGCATTGATATATAAAAAAAAGCAGTCTCAAGTCTTTTCCTTGTGTTTTCTTACAACCTCACGTTAAATCCACATTGTCAAACTCTCCGTGGTCTGAATCGTCCAGCTGCAGTCCAGGCACTAGGCTGTAATACTCCGTGGACTGGGTCAGATAGGCCTTCTCCCTGTCTGTAGAATCTCTCAGTACTTCAGTCACGCTCACTGCATCCACCTCCACCACTTCCGACGCCTCCACGGCCCGCGAGCCCGGTCTGCCCTCCCCCAGGCTGGAGCAGAGCGAGCCGTCCCTGGGTAAAGACTCCACGGAGCCCAGCTTTCCCTCCACCTCCTGGTAGATGTCCCTGGTGCTGCTGAGGAGGGCGGAGGAAGGGCGCAGTAAGAGCTGGTTTTGGACGATAGACTCAGCTTTGGGGTCTTGTGTTGAATCTGACATCGGTGGAGGTTTGGTTAACTGTTTGTGGCCGTTACTGAAAGAGACAAAAATATAATAAATGACTAAGAATTTGTTGAAACTAAGATTGTCAAAAGTACCGTATTTTTCGGACTATAAGGCGCACCAAATTATAAGGCGCAATATCAATAATGTTGAATTCTCTCGTCTATTTTCATACATATGGTGCACTGGATTATAAAGCGCATTAAGCGAAACAAACGGACGACACTTGAGACTGATCCCTTAGCCCAGGCGTCCACGAACCATTGGCAGATCGTGGCGTAATTAGCCCGGTGTTGCCTCCCTGTCTTGGTGAATGTGTATTATAAATGTGAATGAGGGTGGATAATTTAAGTTTGTTTTTTTATTTCCTGAGGATGACTCAAATATACATTGAGTAATGTGTCTAATACAGCTTTTAGAGTTTTAGAGAAACAAAACTTAAAACCACATGGCTCATTTGCATAAACTGTAAGCTCTGAAAAAACAGCTCGCTCCTTATGCGGCGAGGCGATTCCACTTCTGTTGGACTAAAGGACACGACTCAGTGGAATATGAGTGTTCTTTCTGTGACAGAGGATGTGGTGCTGATGGTGAGTCTGTTCTGTGTGTATCGCGTTGGAGATGGTTCATGTGAAACTTTTCAGAGATTATAAATCTGCAGGTCATACGCATACATATACACACTTTTTGTCTGTTTTTAGACCAGAAAGCTGACACTTTATCGGTAGACAATGCTATTAAAACACAATATGCAGAGTTTAGTAGCCAAAAAGTTCAGCGTTTAGTCCCACTTTCCAGACAATGCAGTGACATCTCAATGGAGACAAGCGATCTCCATGAAGATGAAACTTCACCAAAATGTTACAGAGTGCACCTTTAACAATTTCACAGTTCATGATTACAGGACTTTTGCTGATGGAGTTAGGAGTTTTTTTTGGGAAAAATCTGAGTACTGAGGCCCCACTTGGCTGCCTGTTTTGATTGATACAGTGGGCAAGATGGCCAATACTCAAACTCTGACTATGAGTCGTATCATGGAGGGGTCGGTGGCTTTGTACCACGTTTTGGAGAAGATCACATAAAGATCAGCAGACATTGACCGTAGGCTGGACGGAACTGTGGCTCTAAATCACAACATTGATAATATCTCTGAGAAAATCAACGCTTTGTATAGAGAGATGGGAAGATCTTGAGACCGAGGGACAAAGAGAGCAGTGTTATGGAAATTGGAGGCAGCTGATTGCTCCAAAACCAAAACAACCCAATCTTATCTTTTGGCCTCCCCAAGCCAGCAATGGTCATGACCAAGGCCGGGAGTTAAATCACCGTGAGATTACAGCAGAGAGAGTCTGGCCCCTTCCGAACCCCTGTCAGATTTGTACACTTGGCCTGGTGAGCAGGTTTGTTGTATCCAGCGCCCAATGGCCACCAATCCGGATGGCTGCCTGCCTACGTTGGGTTAACTCCACACCCCTCCCCTACCCTGTTGCTAGTTCTATAAAATGTCTGTATTGTGTTTTGACTATGTGCTGATGTCTTGGAGGTGTTGTTTTTTTGTGCACTCCCCCAAACTATGCACTGATATCGGAGCATGGTCTGGGGCTGTTCCTTTTTTTTCCCCTCCTCCTATCTTCATGTGATGCTGCAGTGTTTATTCCTATCCCTATCCATTCCCATGTATTGTATAGTATGTTTGTAATGCACAGAGCGGCGGAGAGGTCCAATTTCAGTTCCTTTGTACGTACATGTACATGTGAAGAAACAAATAAAGACCATTATTTAATTATATACAAGTGAGATGTGTTTCAATGCGAAATGGTGTTCATGATTAAATTTATTTTGTCATAACTCATATACTGTTTGGTTTGGTTCATTGGCATTAATCATTTAAACCAGCTCACGTCATACAGAAACTATTTTATTGTTGTGTCGTCACACACTTGTTGTTAACGCTGGTGAGAGTTAAGAAATGTGCTCTTTCACAAACGTACTTAAGCCTCTTCCTCATCACAGATCTCACGTGAGGATTATGTCCAGACAATCAAACATCAACAACAATTCAACATTTTGATTGCACTCATAAAACTCTTCATTGTAATTCCTCTCTTATTTACTCTTTGCAGGTTAATCAAACAATTAGTCTCAGTGGTCAGTTTTGTATTATTTTAACAAGGGGAAAGGCTCAGTATGTAAAATAAAGGGGGGTCTGAAGGTCCTACTCCAGGATATTTGGTAGAAAGCATGTGTATTTTCCTGTCATCTGGAGGGTTTTGATTAAGATTTTCATACGTCTAATTGGGCTGGGTCTTATTTTATTTTATGTTTTAGCAAAAATCATTGGGTAGCCTACCTATTTTAAGGTAGGTTTGTAATTTTCTACTGCTACATTTACATTTTCACCATTTAAAGAGGGGGTATTTTACTTCTATGGAGTATTACCTTCTAACATGTAACATAGATCAACATGTTACCTTTTATTGTTTGGAAAATGCTAAGAAAATGGTTCTGTCCTGGCTCAGTTTTGGTTTAGTCCTGGTTTAGTCCTGGTTTAGACCTGGTTCAGTCCTGGTTTAGTCCTGTTTTAGTCCTGTTTTAGTCCTGGTTTAGTCCTGGTTCAGTCCTGGTTCATGTGTTGTAGCCTATTTATATTCTGTAGGTGATTATAAACAGCGTTAATGTTAATAACATGATCATCTGCATTATTTTGAGTAAAAAAACATCAAATATTACTGATTTATGATGTCGCAAATTGCATACCCCAACTTAAAAAAAAATCCCCACTACACCACAGATTTAGATATGATTTAGTGCAGGGGTGTCCAAACTTTTTTCATCAAGGGCCACATTTCTAAACACAGACGAAGCAGATGGCCGATCAAGGGCCGTAGACTGGTGCTCAATACAGTGAATAATTGAAATATGTGCATGTTTAACACGTTAGAATGAGCCATCAGTCTTTATTCATGCTACGTTACTTAAAACAACACACTAAATATTAAATATTTGCTTTATCAAGATAGATTTTCAAAAAACTTGCAGTAGAAAGTTCATTTTTAATTGATGCAAGGTAATTTGGGCCAATTCACCTGGAAGCCTGAGGGCCAAGAAAAATTTGTCTCAGGGCCGCATTTGGCCCACGGGCCATAGTTTGGACACGCCTGATTTAGTTTGTCTCATTTTTATGTCTGTCCTTTGAACCAGATTTTGTGCATCATTTAATGTTTTGTCCTTCTAATTACATTCAAATTATAAAACAAATGTTACATCCTTTACTCTTACTTGAGTCATTTCTTGTACCACTACTTTGTTCTTCTATTGGGGTGATATTATTTTAAAGTATGCTTACACGTTTTGGCTCCTCTCCCACCTCTGTACTCACCTGTGGTTGTTGCTGTGGCCCTTCTTCTTGGCACTGAACATGGGTGCCTCCTTGCTCTTGGTGCGCCCACAGCACCAGCAGAGCACCAGGGTGGAGAGGACGAGGAGAGGGAGGGTGATGAAGAGCGCCGTCAGCCGGGTGGGGCGACACACCTCTCCCACACTCACACCTAACACCGCCCGCCCGGCCAGTGGAGTGGGGGACGCACAGGTGAGGTTAGCGAGCGCACCCTGGTCAGAAGAGCTGCACAAGAAGAGAGGAAGGAGAAAAAAAAATAAATGCAGAGATGAAGAGGAAATCGGATCATCTCTATTGAAAGTGGGACTAAACTCCTAAACTCTGCCCACAACCATATTTCAAACAGAGCTGCTAGTCTGGACAATACCTCGAGGGCTAAAGGGGAGAGTGAGAGGTTTCTTGGTGTAACAGGTATTCACCCTTAATATTATCGTGTGGCAATAGCATTAATTTGCCAGTCCAATATAAAATAGAGTCAAATAAAGGCCTTTTAACTATATTTTTCCTCATGCGATTTTTTACTTTTTCTACTTGTTTGGAGTGCCTGGAATCCGTTGTGTTTGTGATAAAATAGAGCGCGTTAGAGAATGCCGTTTACAAGATATGCAAATGTTTTGGTTCAAATATCGGCTGAAGATTGTTACTGGGATAATAATGCTAATAATAATAATGATGCATCAGTTTTATACCCCCCACGTCCGAACAGCCGCCACTGTGGAGTATTTTAAGTCTCTTCTTCAGACCCACTTTTACTCTCTGGCTTTTTAACACAGTTTATTAAATTTATTCATTTTATTTTATTCATTGTTTTATCATTTTTAGCTTTATGCATTTTAACACATTTAATTTACTGTTTTTAATTATGATTTATTGTCTTTTATTGTATTAATGTGTCTGTACAGCACTTTGGAAACAGTCATGTTTATAAAATGTGCTAAATAAATAAAGTGGATTGTATTGTATTACTATACTACACTATTGTAAACACAGCTGCCCTGACTGAAGGAAGCGAGGCCACCAATCTGCACCATCGGCCCCTCCAACCACCACCATCACTCACGCACACGCCACTTTCAAACTAGGCAATATGGCTGAAATGCCTCGTCTAAGGACACAGTGCACCCCACTGTGGCTCCTGATTTTCCCAGCGTCTCCCATCCATCTATACTCCAAAAAATTCTGTATATTGATTTTGGTCTATGTCGCCCCTAATACAAAAAACAGTAACTGCAGATGTATCCTCAATAGCAGGGGTCTCCAAACTGCAGCTCATGAGTTACCAGTAAACCCTTCCAAGTAGCTCGCCAAAAGATTTCTCAATTATACCATTGTACTGAATAACTCAAATTTGATTGATTAAATGCCTATTTCAATTGTAAAAGTATAATTTTGATGACTAATTTGTGCACTGATTACTGGATGATGGCATCTAACTGCACCTCATCTACGGCTTGCCATGGCTCTTATATTTACTCAATTTGTGGCGAATGCTAAAATTAGTAGTTCTGTGGCATTTTCGTTTTGCAAAAAGTAGCTCACAGGAGGAAAAAGGTTGGAGAACCCTGCTCTACAGACTGTATGGTTGTCAAAAATATTGAAAATCGGATACTAATCGACACTAAAACTAGTATCAAAATTAGATTCTCATTTGAGCCGGTATCAATACTAAAACAAAAAAAAATCACATTCAGGAACCTTTCCTGAGTAGCTTTAGAATGATCTTGAGCCGTATCAGAACAAGTATGAGAGCACATAGACTAGTATATGCTCATGGACCACTGTGGAACCTGGACCACTGAGGGTAATATCAAAGATAGTACAATAATTTAATGTTGAAAATGACATTCTATTGTCTAAATAAAGCGTGTTTTTATTATCACTGTTGTATCAGAATTGGTATTGAGTATCAAGTCTGTTCCTTTGTATTGAAATCAAGTTTGAAATACTAATAGACTGACCGGTTGCCGTTGTAGGACAGTTCTATTTCCTCTATGAACTGACAGGAGCAGTCCCATGGGTTCTCCTCTATGTCCAGCGTGGTCAGACTGGGCTTCTTTAAAATGTCCGCCGGGAGGAAGTGGAGTTTGTTTTGATTCAGGTAGAGTTTTTGGATGTGGTGCGAGTCCTGGAGGAGGTCTGGGGGCAGGTCGTGGAGCTGGTTCCCCTCGAGGTGCAGCTCCGTCAGGTTATACATGGAGAACAGGAGGCCCGTCGGGACAGAGCGCAGGGCGTTGTGGTTCAGGAAGAGTTTGGTCAGACTGGAGGGTCCTGTAATGAGAAGGAAGTAAAAATATGTTATGTAATTTTAATTTAAAGCAGAACTAAACACTAAATACACTTTTCCCCACTACTAAACTGTATATGATTTATATTATCTAAATATTTTTGGCAATTTTGGTGAAAATTAGAAACATTTGCAGCCTTCTGGTCAAAACTTTTTTAATCTAAGTGTGTTCTGCCTTCAGTGACCTCTGCAATTTCAAGTGCAATGTGACATCACGCAAGACTGCCCTGATTATAGGTGCCAGGTGTTTCTCGTAACACCTGACTGTAGGGGCGGAGTTTTTACAAATACCAGGAAAATGGATCACATTACACCAGTTTTGCAATCTCTACACTGGGTTGCAGTGAACCATAGAAGAGATTACTCTCACACTCTCTCTCTAAGAAATAGACTTGATACTCAATGCCAATTCCAATGCCATCATAACCATCCGATGATAATAAAAAACACTCTTTCTTCAGATAATAGAATGTGATTTTCAACATTAAATAACAGTCCTTTCTATTACAGTGGAGTATTTGATTACTTGAAGATTTTGTAAGTTTGCCCACTGACAAAGAAATGAACAGTCTATAACTTTAAAGGTAGGTTTATTTAACAGTGAGAGATAGAATATCAAAAAGAAAATCCAGAAAATAACTAAAGAAAATATATAAACTGATTGCATTTCATTAAACCCTCTAGCCAAAAAAGACTTGGTGACAAAACCCTTGTTTACAGCACAGAGGTCAGATTTCTTGTAGTTGATGACCAGGTTTGCGTACGTATCAGAACAAATTTTGGTCCAGTCTTCTTTGCAGATCATCTCTAATCATTAAAGTCTCATGGCGATCACTTGGCAACTCTGTGCTTCTTCTTGAGCCACTCCTTCTTTGCCTTGGCTGTTTGTTTTGGGTCATTGTCGTGTTGGAAGATCCAGCCACGACCCATTTTCAGTTCAGTTTCAGAGGGAAGAAGGTTTTCACTCAGGATTTTACAGTACATGGCTCCATCCATCCTCCTCTTGATGTGGTGAAATTGTCCTGTTCCCTTGGCAGAAAAAAGAAAAACCAAAGCATAATGTTTCCACTTCCATGCTTGACGGTGGGGATGGTGTTCTTGGGGTCATAGGCAGCATTTCTCTTCCACGGCGAGTTGAGTTAAAGCCAAAGAGCTTGATTTTGGTCTCATCTGAACAAAGCAACTTCTCCAAATCCCTCTCTAAATCATTCTGATGTTTACTGGCAAACTTCAGGCAGACTGCACATGTGCCTTCGTAAGCAGGAGGACCTTTGAGCACTGCAGGATTTGAATCCATTGCGGCCTGAAGTGTTACCAATGGTTTTCTTAGTGACTGTGGTCCCAGCTGTCTTGAGATCATTGACATGTGGAGTTCTAGGCTGATTTCTCTCTGTTCTCATGATCACTGGAACCCCTTGAGGTGAGATCTTGTGTGGAACTCCAAACCGAGGTCGACTGATGGTCATTTTGCATTTCTTAAATTCTTAATCTTAAAACAGTTGTCTCCTTAACACCAGCTTCTTGCTTATGGTTCTGGAGCCCATTCCAGTCTTGGGCAGGTCTACAGTCTTGTTCCTGAGGTCCTTTGGCAGCTCTTTGGTCTTTCCCATGTTGGAGAGTTTGGAGTCTGATGATTGACTGATTCTGTGGACAGGTGTCTTTTCTACAGGTGACTAGTTCAAACAGGAGTCTAATTCATGTGACGAGTTGATTCGGAGAGTCTAACTGGTCTGTGGGAGCCAGAACTCTCTCTGAATGTGACTTTTTTAGTTCTGAAACCTGCTCAAATGAATATCTAGTTTCTGTACTAGTTTTAATATGAATTAGTATCTGATTTTTGATACTTTTGACAACCCTGCTTGGTAGATATATTGTTGGTCTGTGCTCACCTTTGTCCGTCGCCCCCTTGTGGATGTGGGTGATGTTGCAGTGGGACAGATCCAGTACTTCCAGACCAGAGACATTACTGAACCACGCCCAGTTTATAGGTCCCAGAGCAGAGCCGGAGAAGTTCAGACAGCAGCCACCAGGAGGTGCTATGGAGGGGGGCAGCGACAGGTCCGTGGCGTTGGGGCAAATACACGCACCTGCCGCCCCTGTCCAAACCAGGAGCAGCCAGAGCACCGCAGAGTTACACCCAAGAGCCATCTCTGTAACACAAAACAAAGATTTCAGATTTTCAGGGGGCTACATTGATACTTTACAATGACATCACGCTGGGGGTGTTCTGCATGTATGTTTGTGGAAGAATGTTTAGCAGTTTCCATAGTGACACAAGGCGCACTTTAGCAAACACTGACAAAGTTTTTAGATAAACTCGAGAGAAAAAAAACACAAAATGGATTTAAACAGCACATTTTCAGGAGGTTGTGATTTATACGAGTGTTCATGGTCATGTTTAGGAGTTTGACTTTCAACAAAAAAGTGAGAGAAACTAAAAACTGTTAGCTTGTATCTGTAATGGTATTGGTTAGGTTGCTTTATTTGTACACGTGGGTAAATTTGTTTTGCAGATTTGAGAAGTAGGTCCCACATTTCACATTCATTCATTTACATTATGTACAAAAAACATGTATAAAAACACAATTACAGGTTGAAGTCTTACAGTGCTCCAGTGCAGAATCGCTTTATTCCATAAACAATTCAATTCATCATTACACTTGGCTAAAATCACAATAAATTTTAAATACATAAAAAAAACTCATGATTTTTCCAAGACAACGTACTAAAATTGATCGATAAACAGATACAATTTATTCATAAGTACAACAGCAGCTGGAAAGAAGCTTCTTTTAAAACGATTCATTCTAGATCTTGGGACTAAAAGTCTCTGCCCAGAGGGAAGCAGCTGAAACTCTGAGGTTAGTAGTTGCACGTCTTTAAGAATACTCTGGGACATCCTCTGTAAGCTAAACTGTCTTGAGTACAGGGAGTTCAGGCTCTGAGGATGGACGATCGCCTCACTTGCCCATTTAACCAACTGCTTCAGGGAGTTCTTGTTTTTAGCAGAGACACTCCCAAACCATGAGACCAATGAAAAAGTTAAAACTGATTTAAACATTTTATAGAACAGTGTCATCATGGTTCTGTCTACATGGTAAAAGGACAACTTCCTCAGACAATGAAGGCGCTGGTGCCTCTTTTACACACAGCTGTACAATTATCGTCAAAGCTGTTCCAAGACACTTATAGGAGTCTACCCACTCAACTGACTGCCCCTTTATATCTGTGACATCATTCTGAGGTGCACTCCTTCAAAAGTCAATAATCATATCCTTCCTTTTAGATACATTTAGGTGTAGATATGACTCTTCACACCATATTTAGCTGCACGTAGAGCACGTAACACAAAAGAGGATTTAGCTAAAAACAAAAACACTTGTGGTGTCCTGCAGCGTGTAAAGCACTTTGGTGAATTGTATTTGTTTCTAAATGTGCTACTGTATACAAATACATTTGACTTGACTTGTCTCATTTGAGAGTGACTTGTTTAACTGCACAAATCAGCTCATCTGTTGTAGTTCCAGCTAAGAAAGTTTTCCATGGTTAGATTGTGTTAAAATAAAGTTGAAATTCCATGAAAATAGAAAGTTAAATGGAACAACATTTCATGGAAACAACCAGGACAAGACTCTTCTCCAGGCCAAATACTCAAGTAGTGTTACTAAAGTTATTAAAGTTGGAGTTTATTCTTAGAAAGAGCAAAAAAATTATATAAAATATGACAAAATATTTTAAGAATTTTCTCCATGTTTCCTCCTCCAGGCTAAATAAGAGTCAGGTTTGTGGAGATGCAAGCCCACTCACAGTAAGCACAATAAAGATGTTTTTCAGTGCAATAAACACACAGACCAAAAAACAAACAAACCAAACATACAAAAACACAAAAAACATGCTTGTATTATATTTTAGTCTAGTTTTAGCTAATAAAGTTACAGCTATAACCCTCAATTTAAACATTTTAAGATGCATTTGAACATATTTCTTTTAGATTGTTGTCTGAATATCGTTCTCCTAAAAAATATTATGAAGTATTCTCCCATGTCTCTTTAGATATAGTACATTGCTCTCTGCTGTTTATTTTAGGACATTGTTAAGCTCTACTCTAAATATGATTACAACTTTATACACTGGTGGCGACACATGTAAGTAAACCTGTAAAAATATTGACATTCATTTGATTTCCAATAGACGTTTCCAGTGGTAAATGTTGAGTCTTACCTGCCCGTGTGCCCAGGTGCTCGGGTGTTATGGAGCTGAAATAAACCCGCTGTAAACCCTCAGAGGAAGAGGAGGAGCAACGGTCGCCGTGGGAGACGCTGCAGTCGCCGTGGGAGACAGAACGGTCACCATGACGACAGAGGCCACGAGGGACAGGTCCAGGGGTCGTCTGCAGCGGAGATAAACGCTGACATTAGACTAGACGCCTGCCTTAATCTGGCACGTTTTTCAATTAACTCATTTCACTTTCTTAACACTTTTAAATGTGTTTATTGTGTGTTCTGTCATTATATTAAAATGTGAAACTCAATTTCAATACTAAGTAATAGACTTGAGTTTTTTAGGGTCAGATTGTGTTAAAACAAAGCTGGTCATAGAGGGTGGGAAGTCAAATTTGGAAGGAGTTTGAGTGGAAGGTCAAATTAAGATTCTTTAGAATCCCGCTGAAAACTTTTATTTCAAAATGTAGTCTTGGTGACAAATTTTGGAGGAACTTGTGGACTCATGGGTGACCAAACTAACATATTTTAGGACTGCCCCAATATAAAACTTTTCTGGATGAATGTTAAAGATGTTCAAAAAAATATATTGGTTGTTGACCTCTTGTTAGACCCAAAGATCTTTTTGCTTGACACATTTCCTGATGGTCTCTCTCTCATGATCAGTGCTTTCTGTTGCAGCTTCTTCTGATGACTGCAGAAAAAATGATCACGATCTACTGGCTGAAACCTGAGACACCGACCATTGATAAGTGGATATCAAAAATCAGACAAATTCATACAATGGAACGTTTAATGACTCAACAACAGATCGAAGGTGACAACTTTTGGAAAGAGATATGGTCCAATTATTGACTTTTTCAAATAAGACACTTATGCCCAATCATGTCTTATATTTTTATGTATTTTTTTATCTATTGTTTTATTTTATTTTTTTTCTAGAGAGGGATGAGGGGAAAAAGTAAATATATAAATTGTGTGAGGGCCCGGTCTCAGGACAATGTTGATGAATTGATTTGTGGGAGAAAAAAAAAATTAAAAAATGGAAATAGAAAGTTAAAACCATACTTTGGGAGCTCCATGAAGATAAATGGCTTTTATGCTGTACTGTAGAATATTATAGCCAAAGAAATATGGAAACAAGCAGCAGGAGGTTCAGCAGGCCAAAAATTCAAGTAGTGTTACTAAACGTTATTAAAGCTGGACTATTTCCCAGAGTTTATTCTTAGAAAGAGAAACAAAAATGATATGAAATATGACAAAGTATATTAAGTATTTTCCACATGTTTCCTTATAAAAAAGCTACAACTGTGGAATGAGTGGACATCATCAATCAATCAAACTTTATTTATAGAGCGCTTTTCATACATCATTGCCTGATCTTGCATATTCACTGTTTCCTCACAGCTCAAAACACTTGGTTCCACCCTGTGATGTCATTAGGTGGTAAATCCAGAAAGTGCTCCTCTGTTTAAAAGCTGATTCACTTTCATTCTGCACACAAACAAGCCCAATTGAATCTGTATATTAACAATATCTGGTGCTATAGAATTTTAATGCTGCATTTTGAATTATTTTCACTGAAGTATGCCTCTTCAATGTGTTTAAAATATTTAAATTAATGGGTTTAATGCCATACTGCGGAACATTCCAGGTAAAGCAATATCATCTCAGTGAAGACAAGCAGACAAACAAGTGTTATAATGGTGTTACCTCAAAAAAAAAAACATTCCTGGAGTTGTGTTTTGTTTCATTCACACATGTTTGAGAAACTCTTTATTATTAGTCTGTCAACATCTTCAAAGCTCAAAATGCTCTGTTCCACCTTATGATGTCATGAAGTGGTAGTTTTCAAGTTCAGCTGAGTGTCCGGGAGGTGTCAGTTTCCGTGGGCGGCCAGGTGGACTGCTGGACCCGCATGTGTGTGGGGTTGTCCAAGGATATTTGCATTGTGAATGTGAATGAGGATGTGCATTTTTTGTATTACTTGTTGCGTGTTAGGGCGGCCACACTCTTTTTAAAAGCTGAGCTGTGCGACGGGGGAGCTGTGTGTGGGGCTCAGGATGCACAGATGGCGACATTTTTAATTGTTTTTAAGTTTATTAAAATGTATCCAGCCTGTTGAAGTGTTTTTTTGTAATTTTGTGTTAACTAGGGATCCAAATCTCACGGTACGATATTTACTGCGATATTTTGACGAGGCTGATACAACTGCAGATGGGACACTTTTTTGCTTTTTAAACACCTTGACAAGATTTTGGTGTGAATTATTTCTGTCATAATCCCAAGAATTCAAGTAAAAAACATATTTCTTCATGTTGTCTGTGCTGAAATGAATCATGGGATATGTAGTTCCTGATGTTTATAAGATGTTGCAACTATAAAACCATGTATTTAAGCAAAGGAACCTGTGATTCGATATATTGTGACAGCCCATGATATTATTGTGAGACTTTTGATGATACAATTAGGGGTGTCAAATTATCGCGTTAATTGCGATTAATTAATTACAGTCATATTTAGCGCGTTATGTTTTTTAATCGCGTTAATCTCATTTTTAATCTCTAACTTTAGTGTTTCTGTATGTGAGTTTCTTTATTATAAAACCAGTTTGTTGTTGGGACAACAACACACACACACACAAACAAAAAACACATTTATACATTTTTTAATTTCGGTAATTCCACTCATTGTCGGAAACCCACACAGAACGCGCGCAGTAAGAGCGACGTAAACGTCATGTTAACGTTGGCGGCGTCAGGCACAATGGACGAGGTCGAAGAGCCAGTAGAACAGAGGCAGCAGTGCACAGGTAAAAACACATTCGTGTCTTGGAAATTATTCTCTCCCGACGTGAAATATAAAAGAAAATAACAAATATAAAATCGCCTACAACTTAAATGTCACTGGTGAAAACAACCTGCATAGACTCATGATGTCTGCACTACTGTTCTATAGTGACCTGCCACATGAGGGGACACGCACACACACACACACAACACACACACAAACAAACACACACCTTCATCATCGTCATTAACCTGAGACCACGTTTCCTTCCGTAGTTACTGCGCGGACACCGACGTGCTCCCGTGAGCCGCGTGTGGATCGTGTTTTCTCGTACGCAGCGTAAACCGCGCTTCCTCCTGTGAGCCTCTAAACCAGAACTAACACCAAGACTAAAACCAGGACTAATCCAGTCCAGGACTAAACCAGGACTAAAACCAGAGACTTAAACCAGGACTCTAAACCAGGACTAAACCAGAACTAAAACCAGAACTAAAACCAGAACTAAAACCAGGTCTAAACCAGAACTAAACCAGGACTAAACACAGAACTAACACCAGGTCTAAAACCAGGATTAATCCATTCCAGGACTAAACTAGGACTAAAGTACGACTAAAGCAGGTCTAAACCAGGACTAAAACAAGGACTAAAACCAGTGATCTCATATATAAAGCATTTCTCTATCAATAATATTTTTAATATGGTTAAGGAAAGACTGGACTTTTTATTGTCTTTAAGTAGACAAAGGTTATTATGTTCAGATTTCCTCGTCTTTGCTACTTTACAGCAAACAGTTTCTTATTCATGGAGACTTGGGCTTAACAGCCAATTTGGAGAGATTTGTTAAACAATAAATGACTTTTATAAAGTCACTTTTTTGTTCTATATTCAGTCTTTTGATCTGCCACAATAATGTAATAATGAATTTAAATGAAAATACCTCAAATTGAAGGCTTTTCTCAGCAATTTTTAGGTGAGATTAAAATGAGATTAATTAGATTAATTAATTACAGATCATAATTAATTAATCTCTCAATTTTTTTAATCGCATGACAGCACTAGATACAATATCATGATATTTCGGTTATTGTTACATCCCTGGTGTTTACAGTTACAGCTATTGTCCCTGCTGTCCTTTAGTTGTTTTTGTTTGCGTTCACTAATTGGCTTCTTTTGTTTTCTTTTTTTGTTTTGTTCCCGGTCACTTCCCCTGTGTTAAAATGTGTGAATGAAACAAAACACAACTCCAGGTCTGTTTGTGATGAGAAAACAACAGCAAGGACAGAATTTTTTTTTTTTCTTATGACAAAGCAAAAAAGTGAAAAACAGGTAAACAAGTCCATGTCCACGTCACAAATCTGGTGTAATTCCAGGTTCAAACATCTTGAATATTATGATTCATTTGGAGACGTAACATTACAGGAGAGACGGGCAAATCCACAGCGACGGCAGACCGAGTCCTGGATTTTAATCACAGAGTTTAAGATAAAAACACGAGCGTCTGTTAACACGGACAACGCCTCTGTCAGAAGAGGAGGAGGCAGGAAGCGAGGGACAAAAGAGGAGAGGAGAGAGTGATGTCACGTTTCCTCTTCTGTACAGAGAGACAGAGGGAGGGAGTGAAACAGAGAGACTTGGAGAGAAGGAGAAAGGGAAATTTAGGGTGAGAAAGAGTAGGAAGGAGAGAGACAAAGGGAGAGAGAGGGTGAGAAAGTGAAAAGGAGGGGGGGAGAAAAAGAGACATGGAGGAAGAGAGACAAATGGAGAGAGAGGGAGAGAGAGTGAAAATGAGAGAGAGGGAGGGAAGGGGGTGAAAAGCGGAGAGAGAGAGTGAAAAAGAGAGGGGGAGCAAAAGAGAGAGAAGGGGGAGAGACAAAGGGAGAGAGAGGGTGAGAGAGCGCAAAGGAGGGAGAGAAGGAGAGAGTGAGAGTGAAAAAGAGAGGGGGGAGAGAGAGAAAAGGAGGGAGAGAGAGTGAACGGGAGGAAGAGAAGGGGAGAGAATGAAAAAGAGAGGGAGAGAGAGTAAAAAAGAGGGAAAGAAAGAGTGAAAAAGAGGGGTAGAGAGTGAAAAGGGGGGGGCAAAAGAGAAAGGGAGAGAGAGAAACAAAAGGGGAGAGTGACAAGAAGGGAGAGAGAGTGAAAAGAAGGGAGAGAAGGGGAGAGTGAAAAGGAGGGAGAGAAGGAGAGAGTGAAAAAGAGAGAGTAAAAAGGAGGCAGAGAAAAGGAGGGAGAGAAGGAGAGAGTGAAAAAGAGAGAGAGAAGGGGAGAGAGAGTGAAAAGGAGGGAGTGAAAAGGACGGAGAGAAGGAGAGAGTGAGTGAAAAGAAGGGAGAGAGTAAAAAGGAGGGAGAGAAAGAGTGAAAAAGAGAGGGGGGAGAAAAAGA